TCCATATTTTGACCTGGTTCTGGCCCAGTTTGGACCTGGTTTGGGTCTAGTTTGGATCCAGTTTTGGACCTGGTTTGAGTCCAGTTTGGACCTGGTTTGGGTCCAGTTCAGATCCATATTTTGACCTGGTTCTGGCCCAGTTTGGACCTGGTTTGGGTCTAGTTTGGATCCAGTTTTGGACCTGGTTTGAGTCCAGTTTGGACCTGGTTTGGGTCCAGTTCAGATCCATATTTTGACCTGGTTCTGGCCCAGTTTGGACCTGGTTTGGATCTGGTTTTGGTTCAGTTTGGACCCAGTTGGGACCCAGTTTGGACCTGGTTTGGGTCCTGTTTTGACCTGGTTTCGACCCAGTTTGGGTCTAGTTTGGACCTGGTTTGGGACCCGGTTTGGACCCAGTTTTGACACGGTTTGGATCCAGTTTAGGACCTGGTTTGGGACTGGTTTATGTCCAGTTTTGGACCTGGTTTGGGTCCAGTTGTGGACCTGGTTTTGACCCTGTTTGGGACCTGGTTTTGGTCCAGTTTTGGACCTGGTTTGGGTCCAGTTTTGGACCTGGTTTGGGTCCAGTTTGGGACCAGGTTTTGACCCTGTTTGGGACCTGGTTTCTGTCCAGTTTTGGACCTGGTTCAGACCTGGTTTGGGTCCAGTTTGGACCTGGTTCGGGACCAGTTTGGGACCTGGTTTCGATGCAGTTTGGACCTGGTGTGGGTCCAGTTTGGGACCTGGTTCTGGACCAGTTTGCACCTGGTTCAGACCTGGTTTGGACCCCGTTTGGACCTGGTTTGGGACCAGTTTGGGACCGGGTTGGGTACAGTTTGGACCTGGTTTGGGACCAGTTTTGGAGCTTGTTTGGGTCCAGTTTGGACCTGGTTTGGACCCTTTTTGGGACCCCATTCTGGTCCAGTTTTGGACCTGGTTTTGGGTCCAATTTTGGACCTGGTTTTGGACCTGGTTTGGACCCGGTCTGGTTCCCGGCTGAGTCCATGCGCATGCGCACCAAAACCCGTCCAGCTGTGGCCGCTTTGCGCATGCGCCGTTCCTGGAAACCGGATCCGCGGTCATTCAGAACCGGTTTCTGGTCCATGAGACCGAGACTGGAACCGGATCTGTCCGGGATCCGGATCCGTGCGGGGTCCCGGTCCGGATCCATCCGTGCGCGCGCGCGTGCACGTGTCCGCGGCCTCTCCGTTAAAATCTCTCAGTTAAAACGGAGAAAAACGGCGGTTAAAACCGTTTAAAAGCCGTTTTTGGTGATTATTTTAATGTTTTCACAACCTAAGAGATGATAAACTCTCCAAAACACGCTGGAAATGTTTAAAAAACTCAGAAAAAACACCAAAGGTTCATTTTTCTTTAGCAGAGCTTCAAATCGAGCTGTGAGTTCATCACTCAGGACGGAAATAAGGAATTGTTTTTAACTTAATTTTGAGTTTTTTATTTTGCAACTCAAGGGCCAAAACTAATAATGAATACAAAATTACAAAAGTAAAAATGAAATAAATAAAATAAATATTGAATAAATAAAATAAAATGTAATAAATCAAATAAAGTGCAATAACACGACTAATCTTTACGACTAATTTCCCAAAAAATGAAACGGATTGAAATTTAATTTTTAATTTTTTTTTTTTTTAACTTAATTTTTAGATTTTTATCGTGTTTATGGCTTGTTTTTGTGCTTTTAGACATGCCTGGTTCCAGTCTTCTTCATTTATTTCTATTTATCTGTTGCTGAATCTTCAGAGGAAATCATCAAAAAATTATAATCATCTCATATTTGACCAAATGTAGAAGAAAACTTGTATTTTTTATTTCTTTTTAATGCATTTCTCTGCCCTCTCCTCTCACTTCCAGCTTGGTTAGTTTAACGTTTGGATCTGAGACTAATGTCGGCGTATTTGGGTCAGAAGATGAAACGTGAGCTCCTCTGACCCCTCCAGAAACTCAGAGAGAAACGCCCGTCCACACGGGGAAACGTCAGGCTGCTCTGGGCTGTGGGTTTTATTAAATGGGAAGTTAAGAGGCCTGGGGGTCTAAAAGCTGGATCCCAGAGGCAGGAAACTCAGGAAATACAGAGAAAAGCCTGAAATCTAAAGGCTCTGCCTCTAATTCTGCTTTAAAAACTCAGAAAATACCAGAAATCTGCTTTAAAAACTCAGAAAATACCTAATAATCGAAGGCTCTGCCTCTAATTCTGCTTTAAAAACTCAGAAAATAACAGAAATCTGCTTTAAAAACTCAGAAAA